ATTTTAGCATATTGCTACTCGTACTGAAAATAGTTTATACTATTCCCCAATAGACAAAAAAGTTTGAGAAAAAAAAGATGTGGCAATTTGAAAAAAAATCAATTTGAAAAAAAATTTATTTTTTTGTTTATAAACAATAATTAATTATTAATAAACAATTACTGATGTTTAGTTCACTAGATCGATTCAGTAGATCAATATCTGCAATTTAAAAAAAAAATCGTTAAAATCCTTGCTTTCTTGCGGCAGTTATAAACGATTTCATCAAAAGTTGCTATTAAGAGAGGAAAAAAGAAGCGTTCGTACTCAAAAAGAAAAAAATTCATTATTCGAAAAATTCGCATTTCTGAGCAAAAAGAAAAAATACGTGTCTCCTTAAATTGTTCAAGGAACAATCCCTGTGAGTTTTATCGCAAACTTAAATTCACTTTCCGCCGGCCTGGCTGATTTGAGATGGAATGAGCCATACATATGTGTATATAATGTCAATTTTTAAAATACATACTTATGTACCCATTTTCGCGCGGCCACTCTTTATGACCAGTTTTTATTTGTATAAAACGATACATATTTTCATTTCCCAATACCAGGCGCTCATACATGTGAAGTAACAAGTTTTCTATTTCTACGTACAAAATTGTTTGTACAAATTTTTAAATTTCCAAAATTCTACTTTGTAAAGTACAAAGGCTTCTACAAAAAAAATTTAAAAGTTCTGCAAACAAATTTATGCGTATTATATGTATGCATGAGCGCCTGGTATTGGGAAATAAAAATATCGCTTTGTACAAATAAAAAATTGGTTCGTTACAAAAATTTGGTCGCAAGTTTCCTTTAAAGATATGTAGTTGGCTTTTAAAAGCATGCACTGAATATCAAAGCTGATACGTACTTTTGCTCATAGGTAATACTTTACCAAATTATAGCAGTGGTGAAAAAGCAGGAGCAAACCGACTATTTTCTACTATAAAGATTTTCTTCTAGTGTCAAGGCATATTTTTTCGGTGTAGTACTGAATGATCAAAAGTGTTTGCATTCAACCAAAATTTACAATCACGATGATTGCGAATGCTTCTGTTACATTAACATTCTATACTGAATGGAACTCTACCATTCAATAACACATTATGTTTGTTTTTGTTTCAAAATAATTTAAGCCACTCAAGAATGAGGTTTTTTTATACAACCTACTGATTCAATCATTTTACAGTTCTGGTATAGGGCAACATAATCAGAGTGCAACATTTTAAAGGAAGAGCACGCAATATACATGTGAAGATGCTGAGAAAAGAACACGAAAACTTGTCAGCGCAGGGCCGAATAAATGCAACATTATTTCGAGAAAACAAAACGCCTTTACTCTATCTTCAACAGTATTTTATCTGGGATAAAAAATTTGCAAACCAAATATTTGTCTCTACGTAAAGGCACCAATGCATTGGCGTTATTAAAGAGATTGAAAACAATTTATCTCAGATGCATAAGGAATTAAAAAAAAATTAAATTCAGTTTTGTGTAACTAAACTACATTATATTTAGTAATAAGTCAAGTTTTCTCAAGCGGGTCACTAGGGATGGGTAAATTCGATATTCGAAGCTTCGAGATTTGAATTTTAATCGAATCTCAACTCCAAAATGGCGAATTTTTGAAATCGAACTTTGTGGGGCTAAAATCCGGATAAAATCGAATTTTTCTAGAAAAAATCGAATTTCGTCTTAATTTGCAAAAAAACAAATCTGCAACTTTCTTCTTTCTGACTAAATTTTTGCACCATTGTGTGTGGCACCATATTTGCCTTAGGGATGCAAGTCAATAAAATACATCGACAGTCACCGACTAGCCTTCGTTGTGTACGGTCACTCGTTCTCTCTTAAGCGCAGTCGCTTAATTTGTTATGCTGAATTTCCTCTAGGCATTAAATGACAAATGACAAAGTCGGGCATTAAAAAATATTCGTGTCATTATATTAAAAAAATTGTCATTAATTTCATTTCCACATGGCATTTTTTTAAATGGAATACATTTTTTGTCATTTCAATGCCTAGTAGAAATGCGGTATAAAGGCGGATTCACCGTTCGTGTCCGGACACTTTTTGTTAGTAATTTTACGCGTTCCTTTCCCACTTTGTCTCACTGAGAGCGCGACAAAAATGTGCTGCACACTCTTTGTTCGAATCAAATTGATTTTGATTTTCTGTCCGAACGACTTGATGATTCGCGTTGCCGCGTTCTCCTTTGTATGTGTTTGGAGCGAATTGCATGTATTATTTGCCCTCAAAATCGTGTGTAGGCAACAATATAATCAGCTGTTTGCTTCAGAACAAAATAAAATGTGTCGAACTGAACGGTGAAGTACTCAGCACCCTCTCCGGCAAAAATGTTTTGAGAGCAAATAAAAAGTTGTCCGGACACAAACGGTGAACCCGCCTTTAGGCTTTGTTGTACTTAGTTACGTATACCCCCCGCGTGCCACTTTTCTTGTGAGTTTCTCAAATTCAGTAATAACTTAATTCAATAACTCAACTTCAGAAACCCTTAATGAGTGCGGAGTGTGTGTGGCGAAATGCCCCCCGGGGCTACTAAGCTAGGGGAAAGTAGGTTCGCCATTCTTTCCCCTACTCATCAACAAAAACGAAAAAGACCCAACAAAACGTACGAAACATTCCCAGATTTCCCAGCCATAAATATCACCAACAATGATGATCCCAAATACATCGTGTTGAAAGCATCGGGAAGTGAAAAGCCTCTTACAAGTTATTCATGCTTTGGTGTTCATAAATCTATATTGGCTATTAGCAAAGATATAATAAGTATTAGCGATCTGCGTGACGGTAGCCTCTTAGTCTTAACCAAAAACAAAAAAATATTCGAAAAGTGTTTGAATACCAAATCGCTCCCAGGCATTTGCCCGATCACAGCCACCTACCAAGTGAATTTGAACTATGTCAAAGGTCCCATATTTGCACCTTTCCTTATCAATGTTAGCGATGAAGAAATCATTGAAGGTTTGCAAGCGTACGGTGTGGCTTCAGTTTACAAATTTAAAAAACAAATAAATAACATTTTAACTCCAACTGGGCCACTCCTTCTCACATTTGATAGCTTGATAAAATAGACGTAGCGTGGAGAAAAATTTAAGTTCTCCCTTACTCCCCCAACCCGATGCGCTGCCACATGTAGAAGTCGAGTGCAGCAGAATTATGTGTGCAAACTGCTCAGATGCCCATCCCTGATCTTCGAGCATGTGCCCAAAATATACTCAAGCGAAAGAAATTCTAAAAATTAAGACAATTAATAAATGTAGCATGCGAGAAGCAGTAAACAAGTATAAAGCGCAAACCCCAGAAACTTCGCCTCTTCAATTATACTCGCACGCCGTTAATTCCTTTAATTTTAAAAATTAAGACATGGTTTCTAAAATCATAAATTAGTTTTTGTGCAAATTGCAGATAGAGGGTATTAATGAATTTAAGCCCTCGATATTTCATATTTTTATATTTGTAAGTTATTGGAAGATTTCTGCTGTATTTTGGCAACACAGTGTGAAAAGTGTGTGAAAACCAATCAATTAACTTACATGATCTCGGTTCCGATATTAAATAATCAATAATTGTTTATACCCGCATTTTGGCACATTAGCTTGAATGTGCCATCTAATAAATAGTATCGTCGTTCTCCTTAGCTGCTTTTAAATGATGTCGTCACAAATTGCTGGCGGAGACATGAATACAGTGTAAGAAAATACCTTTTCTATAATTGTTTCCTTATAGAAAGGTTGGTTTCTTTTCCACCTTAGCCATTCCGAGTTCGTTCAAAGTATGCTAATTTAAAACACAGAATTCTTCAGTGTTCCTCTGGGGTTTTGGGACATGAACTGTTTCTTCAATTTAATAGTGTTCGCTTTATTTTTGTGGAAACGAAACATGTTTTGCAAGTTCTGGATCATTTCTTTCTTCAAATATTTCTCGTATTCCAGCTGCGTTTTGTGTTTGGTTTTTTCGCATCGTGTTTTTACTATATTCGTAATTTTAAATTTTTTAATAAAATCAATTGGTGGTAGTTCATGATTGTGTGTGGATTAATAGCACCACACTGAGGATTTGGCAATAAACAACACTTACGGGACAATGTTTATTGTAAGAACAACATTTTTTTCTATAAATCGACATACTTTAAACATTGTTGACGCTATTTCCATTTGAATGAGGAAATAGCGTCAATGACTTTATTTCCAAATTTTTGTTGACTTTATTTCGTACCAGGGTTAATTATCCCATTACCTGTCACCCTTCTTAACAATAAAATAAAGCAGTTTCCTAAACTCTCACTCTTAATTATCCATGGGTTTTCGGTGTACAACTACTATTTGTAACGTCTTTTTTAGTAATTGAATTTTCAGTTAAAAAATATTTTTTTATTTAGTTAGAGATAGGGCTCATTTGAAAGCAACATTGTAAACTATTCAAGATATATATATATATATCTTGTTAAATATCTGAACGACAAAAATATGGAAATCCACACATACCAGATCAAGCAAGAGCGAGGTTTTCGGGAGGTGATTAAAAACCTCCATCCTACATCAGAAATTGAAGACATCAAAAAAGAAATTGAAAATTTTGCCATCGTGTTAGAAGAGTCAGCAACATTACAAGCCGTGCAGACAAACGCCCTCTGCCCTTATTTTTCGTGGATATTGAACCAGACAAGAACAGCAAAACTATTTATGAGATCAGATACCTTGTTAATGCAGTCGTTCAGGTTGATACCACCAAAGCAAGTTAATTCCATTGTTCAATGTCACAGATGTCAAGAGTTTGGACACACGAAAAGGTATGGTAACAAATCTTATGCTTGCGTTAAATGCGGTTCCAATCACAAAACAACTGATTGCACCAAGGCCAGAAATGCTCCTGCTAAATGTGCAAACTGCCAGCACGAACATCCGGCTAATTATAGCGGGTGTCAAGTACACCAGTCACTAAAAAAATAAATATAATGTAAGCAAAGCTCGCACGACGGAGAGTCTGCATGTTTATACTACCACAGAATTCCCAAATTTGCAAAAACAAAATTCATTCTTCACTAGCAAAACAAATAACGCGGCTTCGTACGCTGATGTGGTAAAAACAACTAACCTCGATCAATTTTTAGAAAAATTTAACGGTATTGTCAACCATATTAACGAAATCGAAACATTTCTTAATAAAAATTGTATAGATATATTTTTAGTTTCCGAAACTCACTTTTCACAGAGATCGTATTTTAAAATTAGAGGATACGACATAGTATTTTGTAACCACCCTGGGGGAAGAGCCCGAGGCGGGTCGGCGGTTATTATTAAAACGAAAATTAAATATGAACCATTGAAAGAAATTTGTTCACCATCAATACAAATTTCGCGCATTAAAATCAAAACAAACACACGCTCAATAGTTATTGGCGCTGGATACTTTCCACCCAGGCACACAATTAATTGCATAGAGTATGGAAATATGTTTAATGAACTTGGCTCGACATTCCTACTCGGAGGAGATTTTAATGCCAAACACTCTTGGTAGGGCTCTCGCTTAAATAACCCAAAAGGTAATGAGCTATTGTGGTACTCCAATCATCACCTATAATTTTTCAAAGAAAGCCAAGAATTGTGACTCCACGAACTGATATTTCATTATTTTCTCACTGGTTAGAACAATAATATTGATCTTAGTATCCAATTAAGAACCACTGACCAATTAGACGACTTTGTTGAAAAATTCAATAACATCATTGTAGAAGCAGGTTTTATCTCAACTCCACAAGATACTTGTGAAGCAAACAATAGCTATATCCCTTCCGAAATCAAAAACCTAATAAGAGAAAAACGTGCATTGAGGAAAGTATGGCAAAGAACCCAGAATCCAATTGACAAATTATTGTTAAACAGAGCTACTAAACATTGAAAGACAAGGCTTAAACAGTTAAAAAACAATTCTCTTGAAACCTTTTTATCCAACCTTAAGCCTAACGCAACACGCTCCGAATGTCTGTGGAATGCCACAAAATATCTCAAATGACCAAAAGTGAGAAAGGTTCCAATAAAAGACTCTAGCAATTCATGGTATCGGTCAGATGAGGATAAAGCAGATGCGTTTGCTAAGTACCTAAAAGAATTATTCACACCATTTAATTTTATTGATGCTTCTGATGAAAGGGAAGTGATGTACTTTTTGGATACTCCATGCCAAATGGATTTCCAATAAGGTGCATTGTTTTATCAGAGGTGAAAGAGGAATTGGCAAAATGTGGCAGTAAAAAGAGCTCAGGATACGATCAGATAGACCACACTGTAAAGCACCTAACGGAGAAATCCATGTGAGCCCTGACAATTATTTTTAATGCCATACTGATGCTTCAGCACTTTCCAACAGCCTGGAAATGTGCGGAAATAATTAGGATTGCTAAACCAAAAAAACAGATAATTTAGTTAGTTCATATCGCCCGATAAGTCCGCTGGTCGCTTACTCAAAGGTATTCGAAAGAATTCTCTTACGAAGATTGATGCCAGTAATGGAAAACTTAAAAACATATCCTGACCAACAGTACGGGTTTCGCAGAAACCACGGAACTCCTGAACAATGCCATAGAGTATATAATAAAAGGTCAGCTCTAGAAAAAAAAGAATATTGTTCCGGGGCATTCCTTGATGTGCAAGAAGCATTTGATAAAGTCTGGCACCCCGGATTGCTATACAAATTAAATAAATATTTACCTGCCCCCTTTTTATTTCTTATAAATCTTATTTAAAATATAGAGAATTTTATGTAAGGGTTGGAAATGAGTGCTCAAATATATATGAAATAAAATCAGGCGTACCACAGGGAAGTGTTTTGGGGCCAATTCTTTATTCGATCTTCACATCGGATAAACCAAAAAAATAACGATGTTACAATATCAATATACACTGATGACACTGCAGTCTTAACTTCAAATAAATTGCCGTCTGGATCTTCTGACATACTACAAAATTACTTATTCCAACTAGAAGACTGGCTCAAGATGTGGAATATTAAAGTCAATTCAGATAAATCGGTCCATGTCACTTTTGCCCTAAGAAAAGGTGATTTTCCTTCAATAAAAATCTTTAATACAGACATACCTGTAAGCGATCATGTGAAATACCTGGGGCTACACATGGACAGAAGGCTCACCTGGAAATACCATGTAAAAGCGAAAAGGGAGCAAATTAATATAAAACTGAGAAGTCTTCATTGACTTCTGGGCCAAAAATCTGTTCTTTCTCTTGAAAATAAATTGCTAATATATAAAACTATTATCAAACCCATTTGGACTTATGCGATACAAATATGGGGAACAGCAAGCAAATCAAATATTGAAATAATACAGCGGGTTCAATCAAAAACTCTAAGGTCAATAACAAATGCTCCATGGTATGTGTCAAACCATACTATTCAAAGAGATCTAAAAATATACACCGTCAAAGATGAAATAAAAAAGTTCAGTGATAGGTATAAAACCAGGTTGGATAACCATCCCAATCCTTTAGCATAGGGATGCAGAACAGAGGTGCACGCAGTTGACGTCGCGGGCAAACTGCGCGCACGCGAGCGTGCTAAGCGAGGTGAAGTGAGCTGTACGGAGATGGCATCGTATACATATTAACCACAACACACTTATTTTCAGTGTGGCATCAGGCCACCAGAAAAAGCCAATTTTTCCAAAACAAAAGCGCCAAGTTTTTATTATCATGTTTAATAATTTTTTTGATTGAGTAAAAAGTGTATATACATATTCATTTCCTCACGTTTTTATTAATAAATTAATTTCAATACATTTATAACAACGAAATACATATTTAATTTACCTATTCCTCACATTTTATTCAGTAAATGAATTCCATCTTAATGTAGAATATTAGTGTATAGTGTATACATACATACATATGTACCTATGCATTCGGTGTGCATTAAAAAAGCATCACTAAATACCGCACCAAGCATTGAATTCCAATTATTTCGGCTTTTTGGTTTCCCAAAAGCACTAAATTTAGTGCAAAATGCACGACCTTGGCAACAGTGAGCTGAGCACATCAATGCTTAAACAGTGATGCCAGGCCAAGTATTGAGTAAATGCGCTATGTATATTTTTCTTTTAAAGCAAAAGTTCTAATTGGCGAGGGTATTGATTTTTGGTTCTTACATAGAACACTGATAAGATTCACAAACTTATCTTAGGACTTAATTAAAATAATAAACATTATTTGTAGACGAATATATTTGTGTTCGTGTGAAATAGTAGCTTATTTCGGGAGGCTGGCTTTAGTAAAATGTACCATTTCCAGTTCTTCAACGACTCGGCGCCAGTGAGTCTTTCGCAATCGTATGCTGCGAATGGTTCATTATACTAAAGCCAGTCTTCCGACATAAGATACTATTCTATACGAACACAGATATGTATACTTCCTTATAGGCTTGTAAAATGCCCAATACCCAAATCCCTCGCATGAGTTATTATTGGTAAAAAATTGGGTACGCTCAAATCTGGCATCGCTGCAGCAAGTACAGCGCCAGTGAAACAGTGTTGATATTTTAAGTACAATTGTACTTTTTTCAGTACAATTAATTTTAAAATGTCCAAAAGTACAATTTGCCGATTTTAAGTACAATTTCAACATCAAAAATACTTTTTGTACCAAACGCTCAAATCTCTTCTAGCACTTTGATGCTTAATCCGTTTACATTTAAGTAAATGGATATACCTATATTTCATATTTGCTTCAAAACGAAATTACGAATTGTAATTTTGAATGTAAACGTGGTTGTAAACAGTAATATTAGTGATGTGCGTTATGGCGATTGTGATTTCTTATCACCGGCGGGTGAAATATCCCTTATCGCTATTTATTTTGAAAAAATCTTTGGAAATTCAATTTACCTAATGGCGACCCTGCAGAAATAGAAGTAATTGAGCCATTCGGTGGTTGAAAGTAAAAAAAAATTTATGTAAATTCCATGCGTTGACATTAAAAATGTTCATTGAGGATTTCCATTTTATCGGTAGTGATCTCATTTTATGTAATTTGATATGAACTGACCTATATAGTGTATTAATGTTTTATCATCATTGTCTTCATCTTTGACAATATTACACGGTCACCCGGTATTTATTTTATTTTTTTAAATAATTTTAATTATTCTTTTTATAAAATTGTAGCTCATTATCAAACAAAAACCTTACAAATAAATCGAAACTTGAAAGCATGAAAAAAATCAACAAAGTTTCATAAAATTTTCACAGTTTTTTGTTCAGAATTTGTAGAGATGTTTTGGGTTAACATTTTTGTAGCCCATTCATTCTAGTATAATAAGGTGCAAGTTTGAAGTGTCTAGAAAATACCATTGATTTTTTGAATTTTTCTGTTTGCGGTGTTGCGCACTTTCTTCCATATAACGAACGTTCGCATTTTATGTTATATGGATGAATGCGCGTGTAGCGTTGTTGCTTTTTATTCCAATATTTTAAATTAAGCTTTATTTTATAGTTTTTCTTAGACAATGATAAATGATGTACACAAATTTCAGTATGGAAAAAAGTGCAACACCTTCAACGAAAAAAGTTCTGAAAAATTTACGCGAATTGGATGTACTATCTCGATCATTTAAACATCTCGGACTCGCCCACCACTAAAAATGATTATTGGGCATCCCTACTTTAGCAGTAGCATTACTACAGGCACCCGCTACAACCACTTAACACTCACAATTTGTTTGTACTTTAACATCACATTTACTTATTGTTTATTAATATTACGACAGATTGTAAATTTAACTTGAATAAACAAACAAAAAAAATTACGTCATCTTCCAATGGCCATAGTTTCTGCAGGAGAAATCGTAAAGCCGCACTCGAACATGCATTTTGAAGGGTAAGAATAGTACTAAATGGCATAGAGAGCAAACAAAAGTGGCCGTTAAAGCCGTTTTTTCGTATACTTAACCGCGAAAGACCTCAATATCTTAGCGCAGTTCTAAGATCGATCTCGAGTTCTACGCAGAAAATTACTTATGAAACGACCTACAGCTTTCTTCTTTTCTTTTGATTACATGTCAAATCGCAAGTCTACTGAATTCATGCTACATATTGCATAAAACAGACTACAAGCCATTTAAAAACCTAATTATAATCTACACGCATGTATATCGCACAGGTAACGTAACAGTTTTGACCTCAAAATGTATTTTATCAGTTCAATAAATACGTAGTTCTTGAGTCATATAAGGAGAGCAGACTTTTTCGATAATATAAATCAGCCTAAAAAAGTAGTTCCAAAAATTGTAATGTAACAGTCCGCTGTTGAAATATTTATAGCTCCTAAACAACAGTAGGTACAATATATTTTAGGTATACTTATGCTTATGGTATTCTATCGAGTTTGAGTGGTATTCGAAACGCACTGTGAGCCAAAACGTATTTTCTTTAATTTATAGAGTCAGAAACAATCAGCACGAACCAGAATATATTTATAATACGTATAATAAAAACCTATAACGAAGGAGCAATTACATTGTAAAAACAAAAAAAGTTATGGTTCTGATATTTTTGGCCCTTTAAGAAGCCCGGGCCCGGGGGGATTCACCCCTTTCCCCCCTCCCTCTGGACGGGCCTGCTAATAGTAAGGTATATATAAATGAGTTTTTGAAAGGGGCGTGCCACATCCCACAGGTGCACAGTGGTCGAAGAAGCTATGTTTTATGCGAAAAATTAGAAGGGCTGTTACGGTTATAATAAAAATGCATCATCGTAGTATTTTTGCTATGCTAAATCTGAATATGCCACACAATTTTTAGTTTGACAGTTGACAGCTGTCAAATCAACTGCTAAGTTCTCTAAAAATAAGAAAATCTTTTTGAAAATACCTCTTAATTGATTTTTAGCCACGCTAGTCACGAATTGTATGTTAAATTAAAAGTTTGACAGTCAGAGAATTTTTTTAAAAACGTCACTGATAAGGTTTTTCAACATGCTGATCACGAATTTTACGTCAAGTTAAAGCTTTGAGAGTTGACAGCTGTCAAATTGATGGTTAATTTTTCTGAAAATAAGAAAATATTTTTTAAATGTTACCGGTAAGGGTTTTAGACACGCTAGTCACGAATTTTACGTGAAACCCTTGAGATTTGACAGCTGTCGAATGGGCTGTAAATTTTTTTTAAAATAAGGAGAATTTCCCAAGAAGTAAACGTACTAGGTTTTAAGGCTCACTGATCTCGAGTTCTATATTACATTCAAACTTTTTCAGTTGAAATCTGTCAAATCAACTGTCATTTTTAGTTGAGTAACACAATATATTTGTTAAGCAAAATTACTGATTTATTGTATTTGACCGAACATATTTAAAATGAATTTATGATCAAATTATGAACTAATAACAATAATTATATTTATAAATGGGGGATAGTTGGGCCGCCTGCTATATGTTCAGCCCAAACAATTTTTTAAGATTTTTTTTATTTTATACCAAATTGGTGATTTTCAAACCTAAAGTTTTCCCATTTTTAAATAACGTTATTCAGGTTTGAATTTTTGTAAATGAGAAATTAAAAGAAAAAAATATAAAACCTTGGGGGTCTAGTTGAAATTTCTGGGCGGAACACATAGCAGATGGCCCCAACTAAATATCACCAGTTCACATATGTTCAAACGTCTACCAAATTTCCCTGTATTAACTAATATTACACACAACAAATTAAAATAGAAATTACGAAATATTTTTTCACTCATCTCTGTCACTTTCAACAAAAACTTATGCGTTTTGAGTTGGTTCACGCAAAAGACTGATAACTTCTTCAGAAATGGCATCTGCTTTTCGAAGAGGGGGTCGTCTCATACTGGATAATACAGGATCAGATGTTATAATTAACATCTGAAATAAGGCTTCGTTAGATTCCTTTCTGGTTATTTTTCGAGTGTTACGCTCGCGATACCATCTGAAGTCTTTGTTGCTAGCCTCCTGGGCTTCCTCAGAAAAATGCCCTACTGGCAAAGGCATACAAAAGGCAATACCAAAAGTCATGAAAATTTAGTAATCTTTTTAATTCTCGGGCGTCATATTGGATACAGAAGAATGACAGATGTGTCCAGTAAGGAAGGGCGTAATATTCGGTAACGATACCTTCCGATAACAGCCTTCGGAGTTGCCATGAATGCGAACCTCTAAATAGCAAATTTCAAAAAATTCAATGCTTTATTTAAATCTGGGACGCCATACTGGATTTTGAATTTTGAATTTTCTAAAACTAGTTTGAAATTTGTAATAAGTGAACTTAAGAACCTCAAAATACCAAATTTCATGAAAATTCAGTAATTTTTTAATTCTTGGACGCCATATTGGATTCGTTATTTTCGGTTTATGAAAATTGACTTCAGGTTTGTCAAGACACATCTTATAAATAATATGATGCTAAATATAGAAAAATTACATTAATCCTTAGTGTTTTATATACTTTATGTTATTTGGAACAACTGCTAAAGTTGGTCTAGTGT